GACTCAAAGATGCACTTCCAGCCAGGAAGAGAAGTTGAGCTCCCAGAATGGATGATGGGTGTGGCATCATCGCCCCATCCCCTCCCCCTGCAAGATAGATGAAAACTCTGGAGTCCATGGGGGCAGGGGGTGGGTGGGGGAGGCAGAATCATCGAGAGTGGTGTCTAGCCCTGGGCTCTAAAGGCCATGCCAGTTTTGAGCCTGTTCTTGCGAGTCTCACCTGCGTTCTTCTTGCTGCAGGCTGCCATTTTGGGTGGGGGTCCATCTTTCTGGGCACCCAGCACGGGTCAGCCTGCCTCCCCCTGGTCTGGTGGGACCGGTTTTTCCAGCCGGAGGAAGGGTCGGTGAGGCATTGGCAGGGGCAGAGGGTTTTATGTAAATGTCTAGGGAGCGCTCTGGGAATGAGGAGGCCGGTTTTCCCAAAGGCACGCAGGGACTGGCAGCTCCCAATTAGCCTGGCCGGATGATGTCAGTGATACTCTCCTGGGTGGCTGCACCCACTCCGGTCGGCCTTGGCAGGGGTGCCCCACCATTACCTTCTCCCTTGGGCAGAAAGGGTGCCAAGGGGGCTGGCCTGCAGGGCAGAGGCCAGGCGCCCTCCCACTGTGCCCCCAACCTTGGGTCTGACCACATGTGGACCAGCCTGGAGAAGACTGAAAAACCACCCCAGACTCTACCAAAAAAGACTTTAATGTGGCCAATACCTGAACCCTCCGCTAAACCACGAGAGGCTGGGGAGACCTCGGAACCCTGGGCCAGTCCCAGAAACAGTTCCCATGGCAACCGCAGATAGGCCCTCTTTCCCAGCCCTTCCCAACCCCGAGTTTCTATAAATACAGTGCAAAGGGGTCTGGTCATAAAGTAGGAAAGATAAAGATCATGGATGCCAGAGAGGGTGCCGCATTGTCTGTGAACTCACGCACATGCATGAGCTGCGCACACATACACTGTCAAGCGCACACACCTCAATTGTGTGCACACACATAACGCCCCTCTCAGACACGCTCACATCACACACCACCCTCATATATATACATACATATATATACATATATACATACATGTATATACATATATACACACACTTTTCTCACACACAGGATTGCACACACGTATCTTCCTTACAGGCACATGTCCGATGATGTACACAGGGGCCTTTCTCTCAGCCATTGACCTAGGACTTGGAGTTTGGGGTGTCCCCTCCTAGTTCAGAGGAGAGGGAACGCGAGCGGGTCCTTCTGGGTTTGGCCAGGCTGTTCCCTGGTCTAGGGTTGGGGCATCGTGAAGTTGGGCTGGCAGTGGGCTGTGGTGTTGTCAACGTGGGCCCAGGAGGGGAAGGTGTACAGGTTGAAGACGGGGTAGCCCCAGCTGTTGATGGCCAGCATGATGACCAGCACCCCGATGATGTTGAGCAGGAATCCCGCCCGGGCCTGGTGTGAGGAGAGTCAGTTGGACTTTGCAAGTGCTGAGCTGAGCCGGCACTCACCCCTCAAGCATTCTGGGGAGCTCTGGAGCCCTCCCACTAGCCACATTCTCCCTGGGAAGTCCCCCCTTGGTATAACTTGCATCACTAGGCAATGTCCCTGGCCCTTGCTTGACTCCCAGTGCTAACAGGAAAAAGGGAGGCTCTTTGTGAGCTTACAGGGCCCTGAGCCTTGTTCTCTCTGAGCCTACCTCCCTGGTTGTGGGTGCCTGACCCCTTAGAGTTGCCTCCATATTCCTCACCTCCTTCCCTCCCTCTCACATGCCTAGGGCAGGGAGGAGCCCTAAAGATGTCCCAGCTGAGGGGTAATGTCCCAACTGCTGCCTGCAGTCCCCCTAATCCAGGGCCCACTCTCAGCTCTGAGAATCTCAGTGGTTTTAGGCTGCTTTGTGGTCCACCAAGCTGAAGAGACAGAGCAGGAAGGAGTGCTGAGGTCTTCAGCCCTCCTTGCCACTCACCATATCAGACACTTCGAGGCCCCCGAAGGAGAAGACAATGGCATTGGGTGGGGTGGCCACAGGCAGCATGAAGGCCAGGGAGGAAGCTAGAGTGCAGGGCAGCATGACATAGAGCGGGTGGAGGCAGATGGCCTGAGCCTGCAGGGGGAGAGGCGGGGCAGAGCTGATCCCACACCCAAGCAAGGGGGAGGTGTGCCCCCAATTCCCCTGCTCCCCTCTCAGAGGGACCACCCCTGTCCACACACTCTGGTCATGACCCCACCACTTTTGCCGGAAGATGCTGCTTGCCCTGGGAAGGGCCCTTTGACCTCTCTGGAGGGGATGAGTGTGCAGCTCTGCCCTCTAGGGCATGGTAAGGGGAGGGGCCCATAAAACTGATCTCAAAGGGCCTCTGGGGGTGTCATCAAAGGCTGTGGGAACGCACCTGGGGAGGAAGGGGCTAGGGACGCTGTGGGGAGCAATTTCACCTTGTCACCCTGACAATGACCAGAACAGAGGCAGGGCCAGGGAGTGGATGAGGCTGCCAGCGAGCCCCATCAGGATGCTCAAGGGGTGATGTCACCAGGGACAGGGTGAGTCAGGGGCCAGTGTGCCTTGGGGGCCGGGGTAGCTCACAGGCCTGGGGAAGGGTACAAGCTCAGGGGTCCTCTCCAAGAAATGGAGAAGGTACCCAGCAGGCAGAACCCTTGGGTAGGGTGGACTGGAGGGCTGCCTGGAGGTGGTGTGTCTGCAGGGCCAGCTCACCATGGAAGCCAGGATGGGCAGGAAGAGTGTGGTGGTGGCCACGTTGCTGGTGCACTCAGTGAAGGTGGCAACCACAAGGCAGAGGATGAAGGCAACGGCAGGAGCTGGTACATTCTGCAGTGGGGTCAGCTGCTCCCCCAGCCACTCTGACAGGCCTGAGTGCTGTGAGCAGAGCAGGGTGGTGTATGAGAGACTGGGCTACCTAGGGTCCCAGAGTCCTCTGCAGAGTCAAAGGCAGTTCTAGGAGCAAGATAGGCCCACCTAGAAGTGAAGGCCTCTTCTCCTGCTGTTGGAGAACAGTTGGGTGTGGGGAGAAAGGTTAGATGAGAAACTCAGAAAGGGAGCCAAAGGGTCTTCCTGGGAAACCTAGGGCTTGGTGGGAGTAAAGACCCCACTTACTCCTGCCCTCCTGACCTCTCTTGGGAAGTCTCTGGACAACCTTAGCCCTCTCCCTGCCCCATCCAACCCATGGGCTGGGGCAGAGGGGACCTTGCTCCTGTCAGGCAGGGAGAGTTGGGGAGGGCCCTGGTGGAGGCTGGAAAGAGTCTGACTGGAGGATGGGGGCATCCACAGGGTCAGAAGAACTTCGAGGCCTTCAAGGCACCCCCACCCCTCTTCTCCCACACCCAGGTCTGTAATGCTGTCTTTCTCTTGTACAATGCCACATGCCCAGCACAGGGCTTGGCACAGCTGGTACTCAGTGAATGCTTGATGGATGAACTAATCACAGAACCAGGAGCCCACCCCCTACCCCAGTACTGATTCTTAACTCAGGGAAGCCCCCTCCTGTCTATGCAGTGAATGAGCTCAGCTGGGACACTGAGGCCCAGGGGTGTAGCTTCGCTTCAGGGATTTCCTTTTTGGAAGGAGGCTCTGGGAAAAGGTGCACTGATCCTCGGATCCTGCTGTCCCCTGGTGGCTGCAGCAGGCAGACTGTATCCAACCAAGGCCAGCAACTTGGTAGCTAAAGCTATTGCATTCTCTGCCTGGCAGCGGGAAAAGGAGAAGGCCGCCTGAGGAGGGGTGGATAGAGGTGAGAACAGGCTTCACCCTCTAGAGAAGCTTGCCTTCCCTTTGTCTTTGACCTCAATGGGGAGAGGTTCCTATGGCTTGGATTTCTTCCCCTCCCTCATACTGGCTCTACTCTAAGTCCCTTCAGCTGCCACAAATTCTCTGCCCACCAGGGCAGCTCTTAAAAGGGAACCAGGTCTCCGCACTTGGGGTAGAAGTAGAGCTCCTCTGTCTCTGCCACAGGGTCTCCTTCAAATAGGCTGGGAAAGGGCTGGAGGTTTCTCACCTCACTGCCCTTGGCCAGGGCAAAGCCACCACCCAGCAAGAACACGACATTCCAGGGCATCTTCTCATTCACCGTCTTCCAGTTGAGGAGGGCAGGAGGGGCCTTCAGCTTCCCTGGATTTTCTGCTCCCAAAACAGAGGACGAGGGGTCACCAAGAGAGAACTGGCCTTCCCTCCCCTCAACTCGGGACGTCCCCATGTGGGTCCCTATCAGAGCCTAACGCATTCAGGAGGAGATCCTCAGCTCTGCAATATCCTGACTTTGCCCCTGTGACCTCGGCAAGTCATCCCAATCTCTCTGGGCTCTGTCTACTCCTGCCAAGTGCAGTCAAAAGTACCTGACATGCCTGAAGCCAGGGGTTGCCCAGATGACCGGAAGCCTTTTCCTGCCCCAGACCAGATGCTTACCTGGGTCCTGGGTCAGCCCTGGGATCTTGGAGGGCACGATGAACATAATTATGCTGATGAAGATGGCCACTGTTCCATCGGACAGCATGCTGTGGGTGGGGCAGGGAGAGCAGGCTTATGGCTCAGGGTAACTCAGGGCCACAGGATGGAGGGGTGGCAGAGAGAAGCCCCTCCCACAGACATGCCAACCCCTCCTGGGAAGTTCCTACCTCCCCTGTGTTATGTTCCATTCTGCACTGGGGGCCCTGCCCCCCTTTGTTTTCCCCCAAATGTATGAACTACAGGGGTCTCATCCCCCCTCCTCTGCCTAACAACTCTCACCTTTCCCCCTTAGCGTTGGGAAAAGCCAGGCTGCCCCAGCCAAGGAAAAAGCCTGGCTCCCGGGTGAACCACAGCAGCACCAGGGCAACAAAGAGGATGGTGACAGCCTTTTCTGCAAAGGTCATGGGGCCCAGCAGCCTGTGCTCTGTCTGGATGACGCGGTAGGCTGCCTGATCTTGCTCTCGCACCTCTCCCCCAATGCCGAAGTTCTTCCGGAAGCTGCAGACAGGGGTAGGGAGAGCTCATGAGGGCCCTGCACCAGGCAGGGGAGCAGAGGACTTCTACGGCCCATTATGTGAAGACTGAGGTTATGGAGGGCACCTCAGGTCACTACACTAAGTCCCTGGATCAACCCAAGGTTCTGGAAGAATAGAATACTTTCAGAGGGCCGTGGCTCTCGTTTAACAGAGGCAGGGCTGGGGCAGGGGAAGCTGGTTTCCCCCTGCTTGGACCTGCTCCATTTGTCTCATGGGCCCCCTTTCCTTCCAAAGGTTCTCTTCTGCTGAGCCCTCTCTTGCCCAAGATGAGGAGAGCCTAGCAACCCAGACCCTATGCCTCCTCTTGGCCCAGAATCACTGCTCCCCTCCCCCAGCAACCTTTCAGGAGACCCTTCCCTTTTCCACCTGCTTCTGGGTATCCCCTGCCCAGCAAGGGCCCCACCCACATTGTTTTCAGAGGCACAGGGGACTGTGGCCCACTTCCTTGTGCTGTTTACTTGTGTTGACATTTAACTTCTCGCTTGGGTAAATCTCAACTCCCCTGCTGGACTCTGAGTTCCTCAAGGGCAAAGGCCTTACTTCAGATATCTTTGAATCCTCCTTGGTGCCTTGCACTGTGCTGGTCTCTTTGACTACCACCTGGCCTTGTAACAGTCCTCAATCTCAGTCTCCTCACATCTGCCCAAGTGATTTTTCCAAAGTACAGCCATCATGCTTAAAAACTTTCAGTGACTCCCCATTGCCTGTGCAGAAAGGGCAAATAACATAGCACTCATACCATTGCTCCCCTATCCTCTACTTATGGCAGACATCACTAATCAATCACAGCACTTGATGCAGCTCAGGCCAGAAGGGCCTTGCAATGATTTTCAACTCAGAGCTCCAAATAGCTACTAGTTACCCAGGTTTTGAAGTAGGAATAAAACCTATTTGCTCCTGGTGGCCTCAAAGACAAAGTCCAACCTATGAAGCCCATAAGATCCTCCATAATCTGCCACTGCCTATTCTTCCAGCTACATTTCCTGACATGCCATTTTGCACTTTATATTTCAGCTACACAGAACTAGAGTTCCCCCAAACACATCACGTTCTTTCTTGTCTCTGTGTCTTCGTACAAGCTGTTCCCGCTGCCTGGAATGCCTGTACTCCATTCTCCACCTGGCTGACTTCTGGTCCTGCAGGATTCAACTCCAGCATCATCTCCTCCTACCCTGGGCTGAGTTAGGCCCTCCCTCCTTTGTGCTCTCACAGTACCTAGGCTTCCCTCTGCTGTGACCCTCAGCATATATCCTCACCCATCAGATGGTGACTTCCAAAGACAGGGACTGTGCCTCATGCCTCTTACCATCTCAGTGCTCAGGATAGGGCCAGGCATACAGTAGGTGCTCAATAAATGTGTTTGTAACTGAACACACTCAGTGTACACTCATTAAACATTATTAAAGGACTATGGAGCACTATGGGAAGGGGCACTTTGGGAAGGGTCTGGTCTGGGCATCAGGAGACATGGTTTTCAATCCCAGCACTGATAAATCTAGCTGTGCACCTCAGGGCAAATCTCTTTCTCACTCCTCAAGCCTCAGTTTGCTCATCTGCTTAATGGGGGGGGTACTATTCTTCACTGGGTAATGCCTGGGGTTGCTGGCAACCAAAATGGGGATACAAGTGCACAGAGGGGCCATGGGAGGGAGAAGTCTTCCCACTGGGGTCGTGATTATATAATTTCTCATAATGGTGTAGCCTCTGGATCCTGGAATCTCCCAGCGGTTAAGGGCAAGGACAGAGGCATCTCCCACCCATTCTACCACTTACTTGAACCCAAGGAAGGCGATCTGCAGCCACAGCCAGGCCAGCAGCAGCAAGATGATCGAGGTGGGGAATCCAAAGCCGAACCAGGAGACAAAGTTTACCTTGTTGGCATTTTGGGGGAAGAGCCTGAAGTGGGATACAGGCTGCTGTGTGGCATTGCCTGGGCTACCTCCCAGCCCCATCTGCCTCCCAGTGAGCAGGCAACACCCCCGCTCTTGTATCCCCCTTCCCCAACACTCACGAGTTGACTTGGCCTTGCAGCACCAGGTTGGGCAAGGTGCCAGTCAGCGTGGCTATGCCCCCGATGCTGGCCGAATAGCACACGCACAGGCTCATGCCCTGGGTGAAGCGAAGCTGCTCCTTGTTGTGATGTACCCGTGGCCCAGAAGGAGCAGGCAGGGTCGTGGGGACCTGCCCATTATCTGGGAGCAAGGGAGAGCTCAGGTAGGGGGCAGGCACAGGACCAGGTAAGGGGAGCATGGCTGGAGCTCTATGGTCTCCTGGGACATCTTGTCAGTTGCCTGAGGTCTAGGCTGGAAGGAGGACAGAGGCTGCCCCAATGTCTCATGGGCCCAACACTGCCCTGAGTCTCAGGCTGAGAGGACCCTCAGGTTCCGTCTGGTCCAGCCTCCCCCTTGAGAAGCTCAGAGAGAGGAAGAGGATGATTCATGCCACAGAGGAAGAACGGAGACTAGAACCCTGGCTGCCCACCCAAACTCCAACTCTCTTCTTGCTAGGGAGACCAACTATCCTGGTTTGCCCTGGACCAAGGGGATTCCCAGGATGCAGGATTTGTAAAACCAAGAAAGGCCTGGGCAAACTGGGATGAACTGATCACCCTACTTCTTGCCACCCTCTTCCTTTCCCCACAAGCCTCCAAGCTGACCACCCTGGGAATGAATGCCCACCTCAGATAGGGGCACAGGGTTCAGCCCCATCTTTCTCACCAAGCTTGGTCACTTCCTTATGGCCACTTGGTTCCTGGAGCTCGAAAGTGGGGTTGTCGCTGCCCTCCTCCACGTCCTTGCTGGTGGGATTGCTGTGCAGCTGCTCCAGGACAGCGTGTGCGATGGGCACCATCATGGCTGTGGTAGCTGTGTTGTTGATCCACATGGACAGGAAGGCTGTGACCACCATGAAGCCCAGGATCAGCCTAGGGATGGACAGATGGACACATTGGTGTTTCAGTGTCCCTTCAGGGACTGGATATGCAGGATGCTGCCCCGTCCCAGGCTCTCCTGCCCTGGAGTGTGGGGACTCACAGGGCAGGCCGCACCCCAATGATGAGGAGCACGCGGAGGGCGATGCGTTTATGCAGATTCCAGTGCTCCACAGCAATGGCAACCAGCAGCCCCCCAATGAACAGGATATTGGTGTCACTCAGGTACTCGATGCAGACCTGGTGGGCAGGTACATGGGGACAGGGTCATAGCTGAGAGGCAGGAAGACCCTGAGGTCTCCTACTGTGCTCCTTGCCTCATGGGATGCAGATATAGATGTACAAATAGACGTTGATCCGCTAGTCTTTGGATTAGCAGATATTCAGTAGTAGCTAGTTTCCTCCCGCCAAACTCCCTCTTTCTCCCCTCAGGTATGATTGGGAACCATTTAATTAGAGGCATACAAGCTCTTTAGCTGACTTTCAAGGCCTTTTCCTGGGTCACCAGGCCCTTCCACTACCCTGGCCTAAGCCTAATCACTCCTACCTTGAATTAACTCTCAACACCAGCCATAGACTCAGTGTTTCTAGAATGCCCTCCCCTTGTCTTCTAGCTGACCCCTCCCTCAGTGCCCTCTCATCTTCCAAGCACAAGCAGGGACCCCTATTCCACGTGCCCACTTATGATAGGCTTCTCTAGTCACTGGAATCCTAGGGAAGACCTTCCCCTCTCCCTGCCCCATGAGCCCTTTCTCCTGAGGATGGGGGATTCTCACCTCAGAGGCATCCATGATGCCCATCATGGGGAACAGGATGATGGGAAGGAGGGCAGTGACCCCCAGGGGCAGAGCCTCAGTGCACCAGAGGAGGGCCATGAGGATGATGACATAGCCGCAGTAGGCTTCCTGTGGACGGGAAGGGAGCAGCAGAGCCGTTGGAGGAGACAGGCCCGCAACCCAGTGTCACTGTCACCTCCTGCCTCCACAGAAAACAGGCCATTTGTAACAGTGTCAGGAGAGCCTGTGAAAACCACAGTCATTGAATCCCAAGACCAAGGTCCCATTTCAAAATGGAAATAAAAAACAAAGTTCTGTTAAGGATGATGGAAAAATTCGGGAGTGGTGGCGGTTGAACAGCACGATGAACATAATTAATGTCACTGAACTGGACATGTGAAGATTGTTGAAACGGCAAATGTTTTTTTATCTATATGAAACAAACAAACAAACAAAAACCCCAAACCCACTGCCACTGAGTCGATTCCAACTCATAGCGACCCTAGGGGACAGGTAGAACTGCCCCGCAGGGTTTCCAAGGAGCGTCTGGTGGATTCGAACTGCTGATCTTTTGGTTAGCAGCCTAAACTCTTAACCACTGAGCCACCAGGGCTCCTTGTTATCTGTATATTTACTAAAATAAAAACAAAACAAAGCAAGGCTTTCACCACCTTGCCTTTGACCTTGAGGCGCCTAGGCATTATAATCCAGCCATGCTGGTGGGGGCTGGAGGGTCTGGAGGTGGATATCAACCACCACTCGGCCTCAGATGAGATGAGGACTGCCAGAGCAAGAACAGGAGGCTATGCATTGTGGACCCCGACCTGGCACCCTGGCCCTCCCTGGCTCTTACTGCAGCCTGTAATAATATTTTTATTTGTAAGACTATTTAATCAGTGTCCATTCACTCTACTAGAAGTGAGCTCCATGACTGTTTTGTGGCCTCTGGATCCTTGGAGCTCAGAACCCAGAAGACTTCAGAGCAGATATCTTCTGAACGAAAATGGAGAGTTGTGGGACGGGAGCAGTGGAGTGTGTCCTTCCTAACAATCATGGCATGGATGCTGCATTGCACAACTCAAGGGGGCGCCATTCACATTTATAGCATAAGTGAAAGGCTCCCCCATCCCTGCATTGTGCAGGGATGAGTCATGGTCTTGTAAGTCTTTGCATGCTGGAGACTCCTCTTTCCCACATGAGGAGCCCATGTCCAGAGAGGCCTGATTCAGGCCTAGGAAGGGACCTCCAGCAGGAATGCAGGCCTAGATAGTCAGCCCCAGACACCAGGGGCCCACGCTTCCCAACAGAGCCTTTCCACAGGGCTAGGAAGGAAGGGCTGGGAAATCATTAGCTAGAAGAGGCCTCCAGGAGAGGGGGTGCCCCATGAAGTCTCCCCAGGGCCCAGGCACCTGTCCACTCTTTGTTTGCCAAAGGAAGCGGCCATGTGCTGGGGTCAGTTGGACAAAGGGACTGGAGGGGAGGTGGGCAGAGGGAGTCCCTCCTCCCTTTCCCCACCCCAACTGCCCTGTCCCTCAATGTCTCCCCATCTGGTTCCAGCTGGGCTCACCACGCCTATCCTTAGTACCCTGATGCCTGGGAAGGGTTCCCTGGTGCGGGGCTGTGGGTGACCTGGGGGAAGAGGAAGCTGCTGCTTACTGAGCAACTCTTAAGGGCTTGGTGTTTTCATGTATGGAACTCTGGGAACAGTCATTAAGGTGGGCGTGGTGGTCCTCTCATAGATAAGCTCAGAAAGAGTAAGTAGCCCCCAAGACTATGGCCCCTGACACACTGCTAACTCAGAACCGAAGCCACTCCCAACATCCACCTTTTGCCAGGCCTATAAAACAAACAATAACATAAGAGGAACAAGCTTCTTAGTTCAATCAAGTACATGAGACCTAATGGGCACCACCTGCCCAAAAGCAAAGATGAGAAGGCAGGAAGGGACAGAAAACTTGGACAAATGGACATGGGGAACTTGTGATGTAAAGGGAAAAGGGGAAAGTGCTGTCACACTGCAGGGATTGCAACCAATGTCACAAAACAATTTGTGTATAAATTTTTTAATGAGAAACTAATTTTTGCTATAAACATTCACCTAAAACACAATTAGAAAAACAAAAAAGAAAGAGATGGGTGGGGGAAGGCAGGGCCACGATGGCAGAGAAGTCAGACACTTCCTGTGGTCCCTCTTACAACAAAGACCTGAGAAAACAAATGAATCGATTGTATATGACAATCTAAGAGCCCTGAACATCAAAGGCAAAGTTGAGGAATGGGACTGAGTGGTGGGGGGAGGGAGAGACGGGTCGGAAGCAGTGAGGAGTTGCCAGACTTGACCTGGTGGGAGCCAGCACCCTTCAGGCCGGATCGGCTTGCATAAACGGTGAGGCAAGCAGTGGTGCTCAGGAGGCGTTTTCCACATCAGGAGAGGCCCAGTGGCAGAGAGTCTCCTTGGGCACCCAGAACCAGTGAAAAGCAGTGCTCAATCGGCTAAAGACAAGTACTTGCATCCGGCCTACTATGCAGATCAAAAAACACCCATTTGGGAAAAACTTCTTTCCCATTTACCTCCCCCCTCCCCACTCTGCACTGGGTCCCAGGCTGGCTTCAGCAATTGCCGAGTCCCCCTGGGCTGGAAGTAGGACCTGTCATGCACCCTGAGCCATTCTCCTGGCCTTGGAGAGAAAACAAATTAACAAACAGGGAAAAAATAATCTGCCAGCTCCTCTAAACCAGGAACTCAGGGTAGGCATATCTCCTTTGCCAAGGCACAGGCATTAGGGGTCCACAGACTTTGAATGCCTTTCATCCCTACAGAGACTCGTATGGGCCCATTTGTAGGCCCTCATTACCACAGTAAAACAGGGTATAAACCTGAAGTCCAACTTCAACTGTTTCAGCTGAGAAGTGGCAGGTTTGTGACATTTGACACTGCTCTGCCCATTAAGCAGGTTCCTCACCTGCCCACATCAGGGACCTGAGGACTGGTGGCTCCACCCACACCACCTAACCACCCACGACATGGGTCCAAGAATAAATGGTGCCTTCCAGTCCTTACAGCCAACAGCCCTGGGTACTCATAGTCTGGCTGCAAAACCCACTCACCTACATGCCCTAGGAAACAGGGACACACTTTCCTCCCAGACACTCAGAAGCAGCCATCAGCCCCCTGCCTTGCTCAGCGTGTGACCCCCTACTGTAGCCAGATACCTGTGCCTACACCAATCACCTACGCCTGTCTAGGACTGTAGGTGACAGCCTACACAACATACTTAGTGACCGACTACCTGGACTCCTGAACTGAATCCATACAAGAAAAGTAAACAGACTCCTGGGCTCACATACTTAATAACAGATCTAACTATCTGGTGACGGGACGTCAGAGCTTCAAAGGCACCAATAATCAAACTAGCTCACATAAGCAGCCTATTTGGGCATATCAAAACAAAACAAATTAAGAAGCTAGGACACAGTAAGCAAACATAAAATAAAAACATATAATAACTTATTGATGGCTCGAAGACAACAGTAAAATATCAAATCACTTAAAGAGGCAGACCATGATGGCTTCAGCAAGCTCCCAAAATAAAGATGCAATAAATTTTCTGGAGGAAGAGAATTTCTTGGAATTACTGGAGGCAGAATACAAAAGATTAATATACAGAACTCTTCAAGAGATTAGGAAGGAGATCATGCAAAAAGCAGAAAAATCTAAGGAACACACAGACAAAGCAATAGAGGAACTTAAGAAGATTATTTAAGAGCATAATGACAAATTTAATAGGCTGCAAGAATCCATAGAGAGACAACAATCAGAAATCCAGAGGATTAATAATAAAATTTCAGAATTAGACAACTCAATAGGAAGTCATAGGAGCAGAATTGAAGCAGTAGAAGTCAGAATTAGTGAGACTGAAGATAAAGCACTTGACACCAACTTACCTCAGGAAAAATCAGATAAAAGAATTTTTAAAAACATGAAGAAACTCTTAAGAATTATGTAGGACTTTATCAAGAGAAATAACCTATGAGTGATTGGAGTACCAGAACAGGGAGGAATAACAGAAAATACAGAGAGAATTGTGGAACATTTGTTGGCAGAAAACGTCCCTGATATCGTGAACAATGACAAGATATCTATCCAAGAAGCTCATCAAACCCCACATAAGGTAGATCCCAAAAGAGAGTCACCAAGACATATTATAATCAAACTTGCCAAAACCAAAGATAAAGAAAGAATTTTAAGAGAGGCTAGGGATAAACAAAAAATCATCTACAAAGGAGAGTCAATAAGACTAAGCTCGGACTACTCAGCAGAAACCAAGCAGGCAAGAAGGCAATGGGATGACATATATAAAGCCTTGAAGAAAAAAAATTGCCAGCTAAGAATTATATATCCTGCAAAACTGTCTCTCAAATATGATGGTGAAATTAGGGCAATTCAAGATAAAAAGAAGTTTAGGGAATTTGCAAAAACCAAACCAAAATTACAAGAAATACTAAAGGGAGTCCTTTGGTTAGAAAATCCATAACAACAGGTAACAACTCAAGACTAGAACACAGGACAGAGCAACCAGATATCAACCCAGATAGGGAAGTCACAAAAATGAATCAAAGCTAAAACACTGAAAATAAGGAAACAGAGATGTCAATATGTAAAAGATGACAACATTAAAACAAAAAAGAGGGACTAAAAAATGTAGACAGAGATTTTTCATATGGAGTGGATTTGAAGGCGATATAAAGAAATAAAAGACTGGTTTAAACTTAGAAAAACAGGGATAAATATTAAGGTGACCACAAAGGAAACTAACAATCCTACACGTCAAAATAAACAAGAAAAATATAGACTCAGCAAATGCAAAATCAACAACAATGAAAAAGATGAATAGAAAATACATAAAGAAAAACGACTCAGCACAGAAAATTAAGTGGAACAAAGAAACTGTCAACAACACACAAAAAAAGACATCAAAATGACAGCACTAAACTCATACCTAGCAATAATTATGCTGAATGTAAATTGACTAAATGCACCAATAAACAGACGAAGAGTGGCAGAATGGATAAAAAAACACGATCCATCTATATGCTGTCTATAAGAGACACACCTTAGACTTAAAGAC